CACACACACATATACATACATATATAGTTGGGAATAACATAAATCATATAAGTAAAATTATAAATACACACACACACACACGCGCGCGCGCGCGCGCACGCCCGCGCACCCCCCCCCACAAACATATCTAGATGTCATTATCTCTTCAGCTACATTACCTAGGAAATTAAGTATCATAGTCGTGTGAATGTAGGTGTGTGTGTGTGTGTGGGTGTGTGAGTGAGTGAGAGAAAGAGTGTGTGAGTGTGAGTGTGTGTGTGTGTGAGTGTGAGTGTGTGAGTGTGAGTGTGAGTGTGCGAGAAAGAGTATGAAGGAGTACGAGTGTGCGAGTATGAGTATTTAATTTCATATGTACAATCTTATCTATGTCCTAAGATATGTTTCCTAAAAGTTAGGTACAATTTCTACATATGAGTATCAGAGTCAGAGCCAGACATATTTTCAGTAAAAGGTGTTAGCGATCAAAACATTTTAAAAATATTTATATGATCTACACAATTTTCTTTGAATGCTTAATGGTTCATGTCAAGTTTAAGTTTGTAAATATAATTAGCTCTGGTACAGCAACAACACTTTTTCTTGGAATAATCAGAGCAATCTTTTCCGTAATGTTCACCCGCACATTACTTATAAGAATTTGTCTTTACACTTTTCGGCTGAATGTCCATAGCCATTACAATTGCAGCCAGCTGTTGATATTATTGTAGTCCTCAAACACCTGGCATATTTGCCATTCAATATAGACAAATCTCGCACTTATAATTACATGAAATAATGACTGATTAACTTCAATGTAGAAAGTATAGGTTCCTATTGACTTAATATTTTGAATATGTACAACTTTCAGTCCCCCCTCCTGGAACTTTTGGAGTGAACTTTTTGGTGGAACTTTTTTTATCTATTAACACTCGAATATAATATTTTCAGAGTTTTATTCCTATCTCGAATCTTATCCTTCAACATTACGATCTTTGCTTGAAGTAATCTATTATTCTCTTTCAACTGATTGAATAAAAAAATTATATAAATCTACTTGTCGTTTCTAACTAATATCGTCTGAAATATCTCTCTCGCAACACATAATGAAGCCTCCATTTATAGTTCTAATGTCTCCCCATCTAATAATACAAGACTTGTGGTACACAGCACCACAATGTATACACACAGAAGTTGACAGATGTTTATCTATACAAGTAAACATTTTAACATCTCACAAATAAATCCAGCACTTCTGCATTCCAACTCATGGGTATAGAGCACAATATTCACTTCGAACTCTATGTTTTCAGGGCACTCTGGGCCCTCTGAGCACTGAACTAGTAGAGGCCTCGCCGGACCAAGCCACGGACCTGGTCAGAAAGAGATAACAATCCTCGGGATTGTAGCAGCTCTCTTATAGCACTTTGGCTTAGGAGCCAAGTTTTCCACAGAAGGTATTAAAAATCCAAAAATTTGGAGCAAAGCTGCCCAGATCAAGTGGACAATCATAGCCAGTCTGAATCACTCAATATAGATATACAACTCCACTTTCAAATCCAATACATTTAACTAAATAAAAATGCTTCATAAGATTCACTACATGATCATACTTTGTAACACGGCAAGAGAGGAGGGAATGCCAGGCAGAGTGCACATTAAAAAGGCCAATTTTTTTTGAGAATCAAGGAAATAAAAAAAATATTGAGAAAACGATTGAAACGAGATAAAATTATCTAGTTATCAATAAAATAATAAACCTTTTAAAACTGTGGTAAATAAATTACAATTTAGATTGAACATAATTACACTACGTAACATGGCAAGTGAGGTGGGAATGCCGGGCAGAGCACACGTTAAAAAAGTCAATTTTTTTGGGAATCAAGGGAATAAAAAAATATTGAGAAAACGATTGGTACGTGAAAAAATATTATCTAGGTATCAATAGAATATTAAATATTTTAAAACTCGTAAACAAATTACAATTTAGATTAAACATAAAAATTTTAATTTCTTTTTCTTTAAAGAATTATTATATTACTCTTTATTTTCTCTTGTTTATACTGGGTGAGTGTGACAAACATTATTTGATATGTGAAATATTTTGAAAATGAGATGTAAAGGCTTTGAGCAGTCTGTTAACCTCAGCTAAAATTTTTTCAAAATTACCCAAATAAAAGGCAGTTGTTTTTTATCTGTACACATCTTGTTCAAAAACTAAAGGGTTGTAGATTAACTCTAGTTGGTTAGGATTTAAATCACAGAGATAGATATTCCATATACAATTACAGAGAAAGAATGTTTAAAAAAAATTTTTTTTTTTTTTAACAAGAACCTTTCAAACTTGAAAGCATACCGCTCTCTTTGGCATTATTCGCAAAACGAGAGGAATGGGGATATACAAGTTCACAGTTCACAACTCAATCAAGTGAACATTTATCAATGCAAATTGTAAGTATAATCTGTGAAAGAACTGTTTAAGAAGCAAAGGCCGCGAACAAAAGTGCAACAAGATGAAAATCTGGTGACAAAAGAGAATGTTGTTAGGTAACATCCGATGGAAGAGTAACACAAATTCATCACGCAAAACTTTCAGGGAGGGGGGGCTGTAAAGTGGGGGACACAACGTAATACACGAGATAAAACAACATAAATTCAAGTCGCCTGTTTCTCCCCCAAGATACCTCCTTTCTCCGGTAGTTGGTGAAAGGAGCATAGCGAAATTTGCGTGGTCAGACGAAAGAGCAGGCCTAATGGCCTGAGTCTTGCCACGTAAAATAAGGCATAATTTAATTCAATTCAATTTCAAAACAAAATGAAAGAAAACATGATAAACATGAAGATGATAGTGTCAAAAACCATGATAAGATGATTATAAGATACAAGGAAATAGTGATAGCTCAGACAATACTAAGTTTTAACATTCTCATCGTAATCGAAAGAAGAATCATTTCCAATTAATCAATTAATTAGTTAAAAAGTAACAATTGATTACAAGGAAGGAATTTTAATGCGAGATAATAAAAAAGTACCATTTTTGAATATTTAAAGACAAATAAAAGAGTTTGAAACGTAATTCAAAATAAACTGTAGCTGAAACAATACATGAGAATAACAATTAAAATCTTAATTATTTTTGTCTATTCCTTTTACATTCTTGCTTATTACAATATTGAAAGACAAGGTACAAATACTTCTGACATAAATAGGACTTCAGTATATTTTTAAGTAAGTGTACAGTTACAGTGAATTTCTGGAGCTGAATTATTGGTTCACTATATCCGATGAAGACAAAATTAAATGGAATTTTCCCATAACGATTGATTTTATTAATATAGAGATACAGCAAAATACATTAACTTGAAAATTTCAATATCGTAATTTGTCCTTAAAAAAAAATTATTTCCAATTGTTAGCTTTGTACATTTTTCATTAGCAATTTCTCTGAATCCTTCTCCAGAATTCATGCCCCCTCCTTACTTGATTTTGCATTGTCTTCAGTGTCTAAGTAGCGTATTGCAGAATTCACACCCTTCAATGCCTCTTTCACAGTTGGAACACCATCCTACACTCAGAAGACGATTTTACTCGCCTAATTACATACGAGATGCTTTTGGCAGTGGGATGGTGCAAACTACTAACGAAACTGAGCGATTTTCCGTGTGGCACAGCGGATATTGCCAGGCTGTGGCATTTGCATGCTTCCTGTTGCCTACGCAAAACTAGACGTGCTTTGCCCTGTGCAGAATATCAAGTAACACCAAGCTTGAAGCTTGAAACCGAAGCAAGTAATCATGCATGCTGCGATCAGTTGTAGGCCAAGCAGGACACAGCCTTTTTTTCCATAGAGACACAGTGGCATAAGGTCATCAGTAAGGTCCCCATTCTAGGTCCGCTACCTTCATCCCAGTTCTTCGATAATGACCTTTCGCCAACGATATTTTTCCAAGCTGCCTAGTGTTGGAATTTGTGGCTCTGAAGTGATTCATTTTTTCCAGGAGGGAATTAATTTGATGTATATTGTATTTCCTATGTTCACTATGGCCGAGGTTCAGGTTAACCGAATCTTCTTATGCTTATTTGTAATGCAAGTGAAACGAGACCAGCGACTTTAGCTCACAATAACCAAGCTATATCCACGATAATCGCTACATGTTTCACTATATCCAAGTTCACTCCAGCCAGAGATAACTGCATAAAGCAAAAAGTTTACTTACTAAGAATAAAAAATAAAAGTATAAAAACATGTGTTAGGGAAAGAAAACAAAAACAAAACAACAAAATCATACCAATCCTATTATCATTGAAGTTTACTACATTTATGAATACGAGCTGTATTTATTAATTAAATAAAATTAATATTTCATCTTAATTTGATAATTATATATGAATAAAAAATTCAGCAAAAATTGAGGTGGGTGGCATCTCTGTAACACTTTTTGTGTGAAAACTTACTTTTTAAATAACATTAGAAGAAAAAGGTAATAAAGTTCACGAAAAAGGCATTTAAATTTTAAATGCTGCACATTTGTGCTAAAATAAAAATTGGTTATAATTTTTGTGCCCAGAGCATAACAATGAATTACTTAAGAGTTATTCATCAGGGTAAAAACTACTGAAATGCTTATTCAGAAATTGCCACCTTCTACTCAAGCCCGACTCTTAGAATATACTTATTATGCCTTTTCAATTAAATATATCTAAAAATATTTGAAAATAGTACATACCACACCGATGTGGCACATTAGCACAGCACTCTGGGGATTGATTGACAATGATTTCTTAAAATGCAACTCTGCCAACAGATATCTCTCTTGTTTGGAGTAAATTGTTCCAATGCCATACCTAGGAAAAGGAAAATGTTCATATTTTCTATTCGTTTCAAAATAACAAATACAAAAATATGTTGATAACTTACCAAGCATTGTAGTGCCTAGAATCAATTCTTATCGCACTTCTAAAGCAACTAAGAGCTTTGTCTAACTCTTCAGTAGTAACATATTCATGTCCCAGTAACGTGTATGCATAAACAAAGGAAGGATCTACCTGCAATCACAAAGAAAAAATATGAATTTACAGCCAATGAATAATCACAAAATACAATTATTTAAAAAATATACTGGCAAGCTACTAATGAAACTGAAAAATAGACAATAATGCTGTTTTAAAATTACAAGCATTTCCAATACAACTTCCAATACTCAATTCCTGATAATTAGGGAATGGAATTAATTGTAATAAAAAATGCAAAATATGTACATGCACATGTATTTATTCAAAAATATTTAATAAAAAATAGAAAATATGTAAAATAATGGTAGTGTTTAAAATTGCCCCTTACAGGTATTTCCAAATTTTTGAACACAAAATATCACTAAACCAATCTTAAAATGGATTCGGAGATGCTGAACAAACTTTACACCTCTGTAGAAGTAATTAGTTTACATCAAATACAAAATATGTACATAGAACATAGAAAGTTTTCAAGAAACACAAAAGCAGCATTACTGCTCAGTGACAGAACAGAGGGATGGTGGTAAGGAGACAAAGCTCCACACTAAATCCAATACTGTTTACATTGCCTTTTCAACGAATCACTGCCCAAGGTTTGAATTCCTACATAGGAATATTATCTATACTACCTAGTGCATAATAAGGTTGAATTCAGCTGCTGTCTGGAGAGAATTCTAAGTGGTGGCTGCTCTAACTGCTCTAACAAAGCAGGATCTTAACAGATGGACCATAGACTACATGCGATCTTCCCTTCCTCAATCTTGGGCCCTCATCTCCCGTTTCACGTTCACTTACATACTACCAGGAGCTTGGGCATTTTCCCAATTGTTGATTTGCTCTGTTAACAGTTGACTGTATATCATCTTCTAGAGTACAAAAATGTACCTCCAATTATAAAATTACAATGATTTTAGTTCATTCAGAATGCCAAGCAAACACGAAAATAGGTTATGAATACAGGAATGTTGTATCCCTAAAAATATTTATTTATAGGGAAATTCATTCCCTACTGATAATTATTGGATCCAATACCTTTCATCCTATTTAAAAACTGCCTCCTAAAATCATCACTTTGAGAAGAACCTACACAAAATCAAAACCAGAAATATTAAGAATGTAGGCAGTCTTTGTTAATTTGAAAATTATTTCACAGCTACACTACAGTTCACAGAAAGTTACGAAAACTACAATATACTCCTATAACCATGCATATCTTTGCCATATTATTAGAAACTGATAGTGATGATGAAGAAACTGACTCTATCCTACTAAACACTTCAAGCATCACTTGAAAAATGCAAACAATATCTATGTGACTCATTTCCAATGCTCACGGAAATAAAAAGAAAATTATGGAGCCCTGAATATGTGAGAGGTGTCCATGCCATGGATTCCTAGGAACTTAGATGGGAAAAACAATCATCAATGAAAGAGTTTAGATTTTAAACTTAAGAATAGGTGTAACTCTGCCTATTTACTCACTCTGTGGACCACTGAAGTACCACACACAGTGCATCACTTCAAATGACACAGGTGATGCCATGTGATAGCAAAGCTCCATAGGTCGCCCACCATTAAATCATTGCTATTCATGTGCAGCATTAAGAAACACCTTTATATATATATATATATATATATATATATATATATATATATATATATATATATATATATAATTCTTAGTATTGCGATGTACAGGTCCTGTCGTCACCCGCGACCTCATTTTGAATCGCGTTCTTTTCATAAAACGCAGTTTTTGTAAGCAAGAAGGCTGTTCCTACGGCCCTCTCTTTGCTTCTAGAAAAGGAGACAAATACGTAGGTATTTATGACTCCTTTTCAGGTCAAAGAGACGTCAGCTCGCCGAAGAGTCGGCCATGTGCCAAAAGCTACCCCGCCACCCGCCTGCGCCCACGCGTCGTCCGGAAGAAAATTTATTTTTTTACGCGTATACCCGTACATTATACGGCGCCTCAAAGCAACATCATCTTCGTCAATCGTGCCCGTCCCGCGAACTACATCATGCGCATTAGCTCTCTAATAATTGCCGTGAAGTTTCTTTAGCACGGGCGGAAAGAGACGCGACGCCCCCCATAGCTCTTTACAAATCATGGTAGAAAGAACATGTACCCTCCCCAAAGCACCCTCCGTGACACTCAGTCGCTTCCAATCCCAGAAGAATGTAAGCAGTAGGCGAGAGCTTCCCTGGACGCATAGTGTTACTTTAACAACCGTGGAGACCCATGCACACAAAAGCAATGTTTGCGCACTTCCGAGACAGACATGTGCAGAAGACGAGAAAAAGAACGCGGTAAACAGTCAAACAAGCGCAAGAAATCGGTGGAAAGTTCTAGAGCTAGGCCACGTGAAACGTCGGCAGCGAATTCGGAGATTAATCGCCGACGCGAGTACCGCGTTGCGGAATTGCAAAAATTCAATTGAGTGAGAGACAAAATTGATATTGGAACAAGACTGAGCGGGAATGCAGGCTTACGAGGTGGGAGCTCGACAGACAAAATCGAGTCTCACAGACGATTCAGAGACTTCGAATAGAAGAGACGCACCATTGACTTTGACAAACAGACGCAGTATTGACTTTGAGGAGAGCAGGAGAAATTGACTTGGAGCGTATCAGAATTTAGCCAAACGAAACTGTGATCTTCATGTCATTAATTCAACTTGTCCAGCAAGCTTTCGCCGCTTCGCGATCCGAACTGTCGGTGATTGCCTGCTACGCTTGACTACACCTGAGACAACGCGGACGCAACAATTACGTCATCACACGAACTTCGGCGCCGATACCGGGAGACCAACGGATCGTCCCGTCACGGTGCAGGGAACCTTGCTGCTCGCTAGCGCCGCCAAGCCCAGCCTTCGCTCTCGAGGGTTAACGACTCGGCACGGCAACCCCGCCATCAGCGCAGCACCTTTGCGCTGTACGAAGGACGCGCCAGCTTCATTCACTACTAGTCAGTGCGTGAATGGGTCCTACCATCCTTCATTGGCAACAACTAATCCATCAACTGTGAGTGCAGTAACTAAATTGTAATCACGAGATGCGCAGAATGCCAGGTGTTGTGAACGTTCCAGAACGGATTTATTAGACTTATAGAACAGATTGTTGAACAATCTAGAAAGATCATCGAAATGAAAGTACATTATAATTTGATATCAAGTAATTTAAAGTTTAAGTGAAACATTGTATATGCACAAAATTCAGAAATAAATTTATTGAAACTTTATTCGGCAGTACATGATGAGCATACCTGATCTTAATTTTTATTGAAAATTCTAACCCAGGGAGACAAATCCATGAAGATAGTCTCGGCTCTATAGGGAGCTTCCATTCAGGCCTTCGTCAGCTGTCGAAGATCGGCGTGAAAAGGGTAAATGATTGTGACTCGCCTGTCGAGGACGCCTGGCGCCCAACCCTGGCAGAGCGATTACGAGGGGAGATCGTTTCATTGGGTCATATGAATAAAAATGAGCACTTTCTCAGGAGGTCTTGCTCCGGAGCAAAGTGAGTCTACTCCGCGGCACTGAGCAAAAGTTCCATTTCGTATGAATAAAAACTTCGTATGTCTGAAGAACTAACTCGTGTCACGTGAGCATTTGCTCGTCGTGAACAAGTGATAGTGCATGCTAAGAGTTTTAAAAATTGGATTCTTGACCAAATAGGTTACATACGTTACGCGCTCATTTCTGCGGAATAAAGAGCAATGTTTTGTTGTCTCGTTCTTTAAATTCGAATATGAGTAGCAGTAACGAAAAACAGGCGCCAGAAGCCAAGCTACTTTTTGCCGAAATGCTAAGCGAATATGAAACTATTTTTGATAAGAACCAGCCTTCGAAGGTACGCTGTGGCCGAAACGTAACAAAAGTTTGAAAAAACAGTACCCCAAAAAAAAAAAAACCAGTAGAAAAGAGCGATGGCCAATTAACATAGAGGATATGCAATATGAAAACGCACATTAAAGCAAACGCCGATAAAAATCGTACCAACCATACATTGTTCTTTTCGAATCGGCAAAGATTCTAATAGTCTACATCACAGATTCACCTATCTGTATTGTTTTTAGTCGCGCTGCATCTGGCCATATCTCAACACACGTTAAAAATTCGGCCAATTTAACCTTACCTTTCAAATATAGACTGCCTACAAGGGCCATATCAAACGTTTGGAGCAAGTGCTCACTTTTGAGAGGAAAACGCTTAACTTTATTCATACCAATCTGAGCATTTGCTCGCCAGTACAGTATGCTCAAGTCAGGAGGCACTCCAGGACTGAGCAATTGCTCACCCACTTCATTCATACGAAACTGAGTAGGATCTCCGAAACTTGGAGCAAAGAGTAATTGCTTACTTTTATTCATACCACCCATTATGACGAAAGAACTGTTGAATTGTTCGTTTACTTTGATATTAGATGATTCTTTTTGATAAAATATTTAGTTTATTGCAAAGTTATATAAGAGTATTTTATTTGCTGTTCTTCAGTAGCTTGCAACCTACATTTAGGACAAGTATTTAGTCTAGTTCTGCTCAGCAGCGTTTTTGCTGCTGTAGGCTACTAGAATCTCAAAATTAGCATTAGCATTAGCAAGTGCATGTCATTAACGAGAACTAATTTAGAGTAATTTCATTTCAAAAAAATTATCTTCAATATTGTAGTTTCAGGAAGATGCTGAAAAAAGTAAACTTTGGCAATTTTCGAATATTCACAGATTTCAGTGAAATTCAAACCTGCACCACTTACATATTAGTGTACTTTCATAGCTCTATTCAAGAAAAAAAAGATAGAGAATAATTTGCAGCCAATTTTTGGGGAAATTTTGAAAATGGCAATGAGGCTTCATCGTGAAATTATCGTTGAAGCTACTCCCAAAAAATAAAAAATATATCTTTCAATTTCAGGGGGCGGCAACATCAGCCAAATTCCTCAGGGAATATTAAGTTTGGTGAAAATCCTGTGACTGGTCGAGGCCTTAAGTGTTGTTCACAAATAGACGGGCGGATGGATGGATGGATGAAAGA